CAGAGATATAGTGACTCGTGAAGAATGAAGCAAATGTAAAAATAGCAGTTAAACAGGATGATATTAATTCTTAAATCGGTTGCCTTTATGTGTCAGCAGTCTGCAAACATTCTCCCTGTTCTGCAGCCTAGTAAAAGTTAACTCGCATGGTTCCAAAGGTTTACTTAATTATGGAATTGCTCAGATGGAAATTCTGTGCCGCTTATACAGGCTTTAATATTTTCTAATTAAAATGTGCACATTGGTTCAGTTTAGAGTGACCAAAATGTATGGAAATCTGCAGCAGTTTGTTGCAGTATTGAATATGGAAGAAAAGACAATTGCATACAATAATATTTTTGAATTCAACCTGCATTTTTATTTTCCACCTAATGTGAAACCAGGTGCAGCAATCGTAATCCAATAGCATGAAAGACCCTTGTTAGCATTAAGCCGTGTCCCCCACTAGCTCCAGCATGGGTGTTCCTCATTCGCATTAGGCCTGTCCACAACCAGTAGGAAGGGTACTCATTAGCACTAGGCATGCACACCATCTACATGGGGGGTGGATCTTCATTGGCATTATGTTTTTAAATAAATAAATAAATAACCGCCAAGGGAGAAGCTAAGGCAAGGTTAGACCCTTTTTTTTTTTTAATTGAGACCGTTTGGGTGGCATGAAGAAAGGGGAAAAAAACGTCATAAATATATAATAATGTTGTTTTAGGACAACCTTTTTTTCACAAGGAGACCACCACTATGACATATCAATATTAAAATAGTATTTTTTTTTTCTTTTAGGCAGACATCCATGAATACTTCCATTCATAACAATAATAATTACTTTCTCACTAGAACATGGGACATCAGTGCATGATGGGAGCTCATTCTGAATGACCAAACCTGCTTATTATAGAACAGACAGACATTGATTTAAAATATAATCTCTCCCTTTGTTTACTTGGCTGGTACAGATTGTACATCTCATAAAGAAATCATCATGTAAATTTTTGGTATTTGTATTAACTGTTTTATCATCCTGTATTTTTTTCCTAACCTAGGAAAAATCCTTGCAAAATGCTTTTTCTTTTTGACTCCAGGAGTGTTTTTTTTTTTTTTTTTTTTGTATTGAAAGTATC